AGCCGAAAGCTGAAATAGAAGATCTGTCACCGGGTCGGAGGAAGGAGGAAAGTTGTATATGATGCCCTCAGATTGGTTAAGCGACCTTATCATTGGCCCATAGTAGGACCCAACGAAGGATTACGACCTGCTTCTTGGAGGACTGACGTGCGGTGAAAGTGCCTCAATGCCTCTTGGAACGATTTCGAAAGCCTCAAGGATTTGCTAAAGAGGAGGAGAACACTAGGCTGAATCCGAGTGCATCACATCTCGAGCGACTGGTTACCAAAACCAGTTGAACAGTTTTGGGAGACGATCTTCGGTGCAGGCAATCGAAATTTTTGGAAGCAGAAGCACAAGGAATGAGAAGCCTGAAGAAGTAGTACCGAGATCTTCTCGACTACCGTGTTCCACTGGCAACATTACTAAACGAAGACAAGAGCTCCCACATCTTCCCGACAGAAGATGGAACCGATACGAAAAAGCTACACTAAACTTCCGCTCATCAATACCCGTGCCAAATCCCTTATCCTCATTGAAATAGTAGTTGTGCCGCAATCCAGACCATGAAGGCAGCCACAGTTGCAAGACCGGACCACGTTCTGGTCTACTAGCTGGAGGACATCGCCTTCGCGATACTTGCGGTGCAATCAAGCGCACCTTTTAAAGGAAGGATCCACGATCAATGGAGAACCTTTCGTACAATCCTACTTTCTAAGGCGATAGGGAGAATCTTCGGAATTACCGTCCAATGTGTCTGCTGGAGCGTGCTTCACAACCCCTTTACGAAGATTGTTCTCACTCGCATGTCAAGGACGGATGAACCCCAATCTGTAGAATAAGCGATTTTGCAAGAAATTCAGTTGCGTTCAAATCTAAACAGACTGGAAGATTATCGAGATTTGCCTGTGTCGCCTACCTCTCTTTCTGACTTTCGCTGACTATGAGAAAGCTTTTGATAGCGTCGAGACTACCGTCAGCGCTCGTCGACCAAGGTGTACCCATCCTACGTGGACATTGACCGACTGCTACAAGATTGCACCGGCACAGCTTTTCCATCGCGTTCTTAGCGTACCAGTATCAAAGTGGGTTCGAGCAGCAGCATTTCGCCAAAGTTGTTTACCGCCGCCTCACAGTGGATTATCACTGGATTGAAAGAGAGAGTGTGCGAGTTGATGAGAAATACCTTTCAAACCTTTATTTTGCACGACATCTCTCTTTCCGAGGAATATCACTGAAGCCTAGGCGATGTACAAAGAACTAAACGAAATAGTGAACGGATAGAACAGCGAATCAACCTGAGAAAGACTCAATTTATGAAGAACCCTTGGCGGGGATTACAAAATGGAATGAGAAGACTCTCCAGTAGCAGGGATGTATTTTACATATATCTCGAGGGTTCGCCGAACATGGAGAAACGATGTCTTCTGCAGTACAACCGGCGCATTCAACATCTCGTCGAACTGCAGTTCAGATAAAGATCAAGTTTTGTTTTCGCGATTCAGCGAATATAGGGAGCTGATTTTCCATTGTTAAAGCGCATCCGATCTTAACAGAGAGATTGATACACCTCACCCCAGATCATATAATGAGAAGAACGGACGACAGATGGACACTAAACTCTGGTTTGATCCCTCCCGAAGAAATCCTCGGGGAAGGCCACCGACCAGATGGGCTGACGTATTCGTCAACGGATGAACCAGCTGGATTCTCAGCTGATTACGATGTAAGGTCCGTGGGGTGCGAGTTCTTTATATTGAGTGGTCATTCCATCGGACTTCACTGTGGATAACAAACAGAGTGTATCTTTAATAAGCTTAATTACAAAAGGTATAATGATACAATAAACAAAGCATCAGGAGATTAAATACCAATACTATAAATACATGAGATTACGAGAAAAACGAAGGAAAAATTAAAAAAAAAGGAGCGTTGCCCGAGGCTCCATCCGGAGTCCTCGAGCCGGTAGGCTGTTTCTGTCTCTCTCCTCCTCCTCATTCTAATTTTATATAGGGCCCAGACAATCATTCAAAAGGTCACTGGAAGAAAAACCTTGTTCTCTCTGGGGAGTAAGCTTAATCGCTGGCGCTTGCCGCGGTGCGATGTTGCACTTGATAACTACCGTACGGCGCACCTCACAACGATTAACGGATCTAGACCTCGCGGACGTGCCGCCGCTGTTCAGTGCCAATAAAATGACGCTATCGAGAGACAGAAGCGGATGGAAATAATGCTGGGGCTTGCACGACGAGTGAAGACAAGCCATCTAAGTATCTAGGTAAGTAAGTCAAATATGTCAGATCTAAATCATCAGTTTAGCAAAAAGAACAAGGAAATTCTTAGCGGCCGTTTTCATTTATGAGTCGCTTGACGAGGAGTAAATTGAAATTATTGTGCGGTCGCATGGGTCAACAGAAGTTTGGCACAGCTATATCGTGCTTGAATGGAATAATTTTGAAAAATCCAGAAGAACATAAGCAGAAACCAACAAGAACGAAAGGTGAGCTTGGTCAGTTAAGCTCGTTGACACCCACCGGACTTCACTATTCTTCGCGGAATTTGCAGCCAAACTACATACGCGCCGCTCATTTCACGCCACGGACCAATCAGATCGTTACATTTTCTCTGGTCCTGTGTGTATCCGCAGAATCTGCATGTAAACTAAAATACAGTATGCACGTTCTCTGCTGGCTTTATCGCGTACCATGGGCTGGTCCTATCTATCAACATCTGCATATTTGCGCCCTGCATTTGCGCCATTTGTCTGACTGGGATATGAACCTAGACATCGGAAATTTTAAGATTGGTGGTTTGCATTATTTTACTGGTACTTATCATATATCTCATATAAGTCATTTAGTACGTATATGTTTTCATCAAGGATTACTTGATCTTTAAACATACGCATCTTTGGCATTCCGTATAATCAATCTCTCAACTTTGTATAACTGATGAATGATTGGATCAGTCTCTTCTTTCTTTCTCATGTTTTTGAGTATTCAAGCCATGTCCACAGCGCATCCTTCATTTCTATAAAGGTGCTTATCCGCTTACAAGCGGGCGGAGTTGGACGAGTTCACACACATTCGCACCTGCTGCGGCTGCAATCGATTTTTTGGTTGTTCTCTTTGTCATTTCTGAGTCTTGTATACATTACTTTTTCAAAGTTCTGATTAAAAGCGGTCAGTTGTTAGTATAGCTGGCTGTTATATCTCATTTACTCATACTATAATTCGTTTTCTTCTTCCGAATAATTTTGTCGTATAGATGCTGAAGATATTTTCGAACGTCATTCTTATGCTTTTCAACTTTCAGGGTCTTGTATTGGCTCTTGGATTCATATCATCATGTACGGATATGGTCAAGGAAGTTATGGGTTAGTTTTCTAACTTGTTTTTTTCGCCAAGTTCTCAAAGCAAATCTTGGTCAAATTCTCGGTTGTTTTATCGATTTGTGGCATTTCTTATGCTCATAACAACTCGTGAAATGGATTTTATATATTCCTCAAGTTAAATAGCTACTCAGTATGATGAAATATATAGTTATTAGTTGTTTCGCTCATACGCTTATCTCGATATGATGAACATTACCTAAATAGGCTGCAGTGAAAGTACACATAGGCGTGTGTCGAGAGTTTGGAGGAATGCTATGCTTTACTGAAAGTGATGTCAGCTTCATTTAAGGACCATGACAAACTAAAAAGCGCATGTTTCAAACAGAAATGTTTGGGTTAACGAGGAGATAGCATCTTAGAGTTAAATCCAATTTGGGTGCACGAGAAGTGGTTTTTTATATTGCTGTGCATTTGCCCGAATCGTCCTTGTTTTCTTCTTCTTCTTAATTTCTCTTGGTTTCATATGTATTTCAATCGCACCTAGACATCTCCTTTCGGCATTGGCTTAAAATGTGAAAATCAAATGATTTGTAAATGTAAATATAGTGTCACTTTTGCAACATAAGAAAGATTTAAAAACATATAGCGTCAGAGGTCTTGTATTAGTTATACGTAACGGCATGCTCAACATCAATCTTGCATTTTCCAGAAATTACGGATCGGCGTACACGGCTGCCGCAGCAGCAGCTGCTGTGTACGGGAATTTAGGTGTTGGACAGTCTACGCAAGCCCAACAACAATCAAGTAGTGTTTTCGGGTATGTTTGTTTATTTTGTATACCACCGTCACTTTTCAAAGTACGCTGGGGGATTCGACTACCATTTTGAACACTATAAAATGTAGGTCTTCAACAACAAATCCCTACGCTACATACAGCAATTCTGTTGCTGCGTCGTATGGATATGGAAGCCAGTCCACGAATGCTGCTTCCGTTTATGCTGCTCAAGCTGCTCAGGTAAAAAGAACTTCAGTTTCTAGTCCTTTACATATTTTTTCCTATAAGCCTTCCAAAATCTGAGTACGTTTCTAGGCGCAAGTGCAAGCTTCCCAAGTAAGCCGCTTGTCTGCTGATGCTGCATACGCTGCAGCTGCTGGTGTCGCGCCTAGCCAATACTCAGCTTTTGGCGCTGGACAGCTTGCAGGTAATTGTCCCGCCTTTTTAGACTCCAAAGTGCAAGCAGTTCGAAAGTCTAACATTGAAATATTGTCGGCATTGCGAAATAATGGTAAGTTGGTGAGTAAAGGGGCATTTTCAGTGGTTAGGCTTTTGGGAACGTAGAGGTTTCCTTTCCTC